CCAGAAACGCATTCATGAATTCTTAATGCTGTTCATACAAAACAGGAATTTTCTCAAATATAAATTAATATTATGGTATATTAGTATAGTGTGCACATATAGGCATAGGTTAAATTAGGTTAGGTGTTTCGGTTCTGTCGGCGATTGTTTGTTTTTGTAATACGTGGGTGAAGCATTTATAGCATTGTAGTTCGAACAAAATTCGTCAGCAAAACACTTGTTCCGGAAGTGTTCGAACGTCAACAGTTGTGAGTCGTGTGTAAACCGTTTTTCATTCATAAACAGGGGGTTTGGCGGGTGCATGGAATCACTTTTGGGTCTTTGGAGGACGGGCTACGCAACCCGTCCTCAGTCCATGATCATTTCTTCAGTAATTACCTAAGTGTAGTTACAGGATGAAAGCTACGCTCGTGGTGTCCCGTCTTCCCAGCACTCTCTGTCATATAACGCTTTGAAACTACTGACGGTCTTGGCCTCCACCACCTTCTCACCTAACTTGTTCCAACCTTCTACCACTCTGTTTGCGAAAGTGAATTTTCTTATATTTCTTCGGCATCTGTGTTTAGCTAGTTTAAATCAATGACCTCTTGTTCTTAAAGTTCCAGGTCTCAGGAAATCTTCCCTATCGATTTTATCAATTCCTGTTACTATTTTGTATGTAGTGATCATATCACCTCTTTTTCTTCTAGTTTTGGCATATTTAATGCCTCTAACCTCTCCTCGTAGCTCTTGCCCTTCAGTTCTGAGAGCCACTTAGTAGCATGTCTATGCACCTTTTCCAGTTTGTTGATGTGCTTCTTAAGATATGGGCACCACACAACCGCTGCATATTCTAGCTTTGGCCTAACAAAAGTCGTGAACAATTTCTTTAGTATATCGCCATCCATGTATTTAAAAGCAATTCTGAAGTTAGAAAGCGTGGCATAGGCTCCTCGCACAATATTCTTTATGTGGTCCTCAGGTGATAGTTTTCTATCTAGAACCACCCCTAGATCTCTTTCTTTATCAGAATTCTTTAAAGATTTCTCACATAATATATAGGTTGTGTGGGGTTTATGTTCTCCTATTCCACATTCCATAACATGGCATTTATTAACATTAAATTCCATTTGCCAAGTGGTGTTCCATATACTTATTTTGTCCAGGTCATCTTGAAGGGCATGACAATCATCTAAGTTTCTTATCCTTCCTATTATCTTAGCATCATCAGCAAACATGTTCATATAATTCTGTATACCAACTGGTAGATCATTTATGTAGACAATATACATCACTGGTGCAAGAACTGAACCCTGTGGTACTCCACTTGTGACATTTCTCCAGTCCGATACATTGCCTCTGATTACTGCCCTCATTTTTCTATCAGTCAGAAAAATTTTCATCCATGTTAGAAGCTTCTGTCACCCCTCCAATATTTTCCAGTTTCCAGAACACCTCTTATGTGGAACTCTGTCGAAAGCCTTTTTTAGGTCCAGATAAATGCAGTCAACCCAACCACCTCTTTCCTGTAAAATCTCTGTTGCTCGATCATAGAAACTGAGTAAATTTGATACACAGGATCTTCCAAATCGAAAACCATACTGTCTGTCTAATATTATATTATTTCTCTCCAGGTGTTCTACCCATTTAGTTTTAATTATTTTTTCCAATATTTTGACTATTACACTTGTCAATGATACAGTGGTCGACCCCAAAGACTCATTCATAAATATTAACATCTTATCTTGAAATGATTTCGGGATTTAGCGTCCCCGAACATGCTGTTCATTCAAAGTAGGAATTTTCTCAAATATAAATGAATATTTTTTATATTAGCATATTGCGCATATTTAGGCATTGGCTAAGTTAGGTGTTTAGGTTCCGTTGGCGATTACTTGTATTTGTAGTACGAGAGTGAAGCATTTACAACATTGGGGTTCGAACAAAAGTCGCCAGCGAAGCACTCGTTCCGTAAGTGTTCGGGCGTCATCAGTTGTGAGTCGTGTGCAAACCGTTTTTCAATCATAAACGGGTTTGGCGGGTGCATAGAATGGATTTTGGCCCTTGTTTTTGAGGACGGGCTGACTACCGGGACCCTTGTACCCATCAATGCAACAAAAAATATATAAAAATAAGTGTGTCAGCATATACCATGGTAAATTATAAAATATTTCTGTAAATACCTCCTAACTTATCCTTGTGGCCCTTGTTTAGTGTTTTAATTTGGACTTGTCGGAGCTCCTAACTAATGCTCTCGTATCTCTAGGCTACCCCACCCTATAATCTAATCAGTAATTTGTAAACTGGGATGTGATAGTCATGCGTAGTAGTCCACGTTTTTCATTGCCAGAATATGTTAGCGTCATAGCTTTTTCAAAACTATAAAGGGTAATATATTTACATAGTTAATACGTTTTAGCAATAGCTTTACGACTTTGGCCAATGATATTAATATAACGCCTGTGAACATATCCACAAGGGCCGTGACGAGGATTCGAACCTGCGTCCGGGAGCATCCCAGACACTGCCTTAATCGACTGAGCTACGACAGAGTAAAAGGGTTGAAACCGAAGTTCTACTGAACTTACTGGATCCCGTAGCCTCTCCGAGGCACAAACCTCTCCAGGACGCAGGTTCGAATCCTCGTCACGGCCCTCTGGATATGTTCGTATGATGCATCACGTTAGTGTGATCTCTGTGTGTAATAACGCCTATGGTTTTAAGTAGAGGAAATGTTGAGTCCTGTTGGTGGCCTCTGTGACCCAAATTGAACGCAGCCTCTATAATTACTTTCCTCGTTATTTATATTAACAAGAAATGCAGTTAAAAACAATATTAGCCCACCATATCCTAAAATAATCAGACAATATTTATTCTTAAGTATGCAACCCGGCATGGAACCCCCACCCTCAAAAATTATAAAACTTGAACAGATCAAAATATATGATCTCAGAATGTTCGGCAATATGTTTATTGTTTGTGATGTGTGTCTATATATGTATGAACACGTTGTACTGAACGGGGTGAGAATAGCTTGAGCTACCTCATCCCTTTGTGTGTATTTTACCTCAATAAACTTATTTAAATTTAAATTTCAAAAGATATGCAACAATTCTTGTTCCCGAGCTGAAGGTCCCGAGTTATGAGGGAAGACTGAAGGGTCTTAACCTCATAAGTTTGACAAACGTTGTCACAGCTCGATTACGACTTGGCTACAAATATCTCTGACGGTTTGGCTTGCATGGGGGATCTAAATTAAGTAAAATATGTGGACTAAGATAGGGACACACTAGATATTAGAAAATTACACTTCATACTGTGAAAATGATTTAGCCATTAACAGATAAAGTAAATCTAAACTTGCGTTGCATTAAATCACGTCATCCTATTACAAATTATAAAATATCTGAAATTATTGATGTATCCGTATTTCGCTTTTTGTATATACATCACGTGTGATTAAGATATAATCTGTGTAGTGTGTAAACTATAAATCATAAACGGCAACTTTTCTCTCATCCAATAGCACAATACAAATTCATGGTATCGGAGACTGGAAGCCTGTGTACATATATATTCTTTAGACTATATATGTACACACTCGTATAGTGTTTTCCTCAAGGTCGAACTAGTAACCTTCTCTTTGACATCTATATGACCTATATGATACAGAATCATATTCAATGAAACATGTCTAAATGAAAACCTGCTGCCAGTATACAAATATATATATATATATATATATATATATATATATATATATATATATATATATATATATATATGTCGTACCTAGTAGCCAGAACGCACTTCTCAGCCTACTATGCAAGGCCGAATTTGCCTAATAAGCCAAGTTTTCATGAATTGTTTTTCGACTACCTAACCTAACCTAACTTTGTCGGCTACCTAACGTAACCTAACCTATAAAGATAGGTTAGGTTAGGTTAGGTTGGGTTGGTTAGGTTGGGTCATATATCTACGTTAATTTTAACTCCAATAAAAAAAAATTGACCTCATACATAATGAAATGGGTAGCTTTATCATTTCATAAGAAAAAAATTGGAAAAAATATATTAATTCAGGAAAACTTGGCTTATTAGGCAAATCGGGCCTTGAATAGTAGGCCAAAAAGTGAGTTCTGGCTATTAGGTACGACATATATATATATATATATATATATATATATATATATATATATATATATATATATATATATATATATATATATATATATATATGTGTGTGTGTGTGTGTGTAAATCACGAAAGTTAACGTGATGAAAAATGTGACAGTGTCAGACCAAGGAGGAAGAATTGAAACTGGCATTTCCTTAAGTAGTTTCGTATTTAATAATACATCTTCAGAAGGATGAAGATGTATCCTTCTTTAGATAATATATTTTCAGGATACATCCTTCTGAGTGTACTATTAAATTCGAAAGTACTTAAGGAAATTCCTGTTTCAATTCTTCCTCCGTGGTCTGAGTCATATATATATATATATATATATATATATATATATATATATATATATATATATATATATATATATATATATATATATATATATATGACAGTGTCAGACCACGAAGGAAGGATTAAGATAGGAATTTCCCTAAGTACTTTCGTATTTAATAATACACTCAGAAGGATGTATCCTGAAGATATATTATCTAAAGAAGGATACATCTTCATCCTTCTGAAGATGTATTATTAAATACGAAACTACTTAAGGAAATGCCTGTCTTAATCCTTCTTTTGGGGTCTGACACTGTCACATTGTTCATCACGTGTTAATTTTGTCGTGATTTACACACACAATGTAAATATATAAATATATATATATATATATATATATATATATATATATATATATATATATATATATATATATGAAAATACTATCGGATTTATTATTTAAAATTGAATGTAATGTGTTAACCTTGTCTGAATGAGCCGACAGGAGAGCGCGCAGGTTGGAAACAATTTGACTATTAAAACATTTTAGGTGGGCTTACTTACCTATTGTGGTAAGGAAGAGTGGTGGTGAGGGTGGGCAGGCGTGGGCGTGGGGCCTGGCGCCCACCACACCGCCCACCCAGGTGACCCGCCCACACGCCCAACCCGCCCCGGACACCTCTCAACCCTGACATCATCACCATCGTCTTGTCAATCTCACTGCAATAACGAAATAAAACTTCTAGTACGGCGTTTAAAAGGGTGGTTAGCAAGATCAGTTATCGAGCGTGCAAGAGCACGTGGAGTGACATGGTGTTATATTCACAAGCTTTGGACTAATGCTTATAGATTTAAGTGGCCAAACGCGCCACCAACCTACGTGACAGGCCGCTCCGTCTTAATGGTTGGTACTAACCAAATGCCTTTTATGATCAGAACGCTGAAGCTAAACTTTGAAGGAGTAACGGTTAGGTAACAAAGCTGTTGAGAAATTATATAAGCTATATTCAGTGAAGATAATGTCAATAATAGCACAGAGACCACGCGTCCCACCACTCGTTGCTACGCCTCGTAGCCGACTGGTGTTTATAAAGACGCCAGAGCCATCTGTTGGCAGCACTTGACACCAGTCGCCACCTTGGCCAAGGTAGGATATATTTAGTATATATTTACTATATATTTAGTATATTTAAAGTGATAATTAGTTTTGTTTTAGTAGTAGTTCTTCTAAAAATTGCAAGTTATAATATTTTACGAATTTTTCTGCGTTTTTTATTTAAATTTATTTGCGGTATATAGGTTATACAGTAAGAAATATTGAGGCAATGTTACAAAACTATGATACAATAACGTTCATGAGTTGGCAATTCGTGAGATAGAAATTAAACATGTACTTAAATTAAGTAGCTCTTGCTCTATTCTCTGTAATTCTTCATATAGAATTGAGTAGCAGCACACTGCCATGTACAGTACCTCAAGTCACTCTACAGGCTGCTGCAGCGCCACCTGTACAAATGTCAACAGGTCGCGCTGCAGCAGCCTGTAGAATATACAAAGGCAACATATGTACACAGACCACAAGTGTGAGACTGGATAACTGGCTTAGCTCCACACATGCAGAGTTAGCTGCACTACAACTTGCCACTAACGCAATGAAGAACAGTGGAGGAGTAATTTTCTGTGATTTAAAGTCAGCTCCCTTAAAAACCCGACATGCAAAATAAACACTTAGAATGTTATAACATCCATTATAAACAACATTATTAAAGCAAAGAGCAAGAGCTTCAAAGTCTCATTTGTATGGATACCATCTCACACAGTTTTTTTTTTTTTTTTGCAGGGATATTCCTGCGCGGGCCCTAAGCCTCTGGCTGGCCCACTGCGCGGGCCCTAAGCCTCTGGCTGGCCCACTAAGTGTTGCTTGTTTCTGTTTTACTTGGGCGGAGTATGAGTATTTATGACTCGTATGGTCGCTTCAGTAAGATTTTGCCTTATGTGTTTAACAACTTCTGCTCTGTTGAATCTAAATTGAAATCTTAATGGGTTTGTAACTGTGCACTGTATTAGATAATGTTCCAGTGGTCTGTTGTGGTTGTAACTGTGCACTGTGTTAGATAATGTTCCAGTGGTCTGTTGTGGTTGTAACTGTGCACTGTGTTAGATAATGTTTCGGTGGTCTGTCGGGCATTTCTCCACAGTGCTGACATTTCCTCTCATCTTCCGGAACCTGTAAGCCTATTTCCCATGCACATGCGTATCCAAGCCTGATGCGATGTAAGTGTACTTCTGTTGCTCTACTGTTCCCTTTCATCAAACTAAGTGGTTCGTAGTTGGTTGAATTCTTGTACCAACCCGCAGATCCTGATGTTGCAACTGCTGTGTTGTGGTCACTGTACATCTTTTGCATTGCTCTGTTTCTAATTACTTTCTTAATCTGTGATAGACTCTGTGGTATGTAAATGTCTACATTTCTTCTCTTAGCTGCAAGTTTTGCAACTTCGTCTGCAATGTCATTTCCTATTATTCCCACATGACTTGGCACCCAGTTGATAAGTACCCGTCGGCCTTGTCGTTTGAGTGTTTGCATTAATAATATGACATTTTTGATCAGATGTATGTTATCACATATGTGTTCTTGTTGCAATGTTTCAATGGTCGGTGTTCAGCAAGAGCATGTTATAAAGCCTTTTGAAAAAAATGGCTAGCATCTCTGTTTGTAAAGTCGAACACCCATTTGAGAGTTTCCAACTATTTGCAGAGTTTCCTGCCTTAAATGCAGCTCCGGTTTCTTGTCCCTGCTGGTCTACTGATCCATCTGTGAAGTAAGTAAAGCTGTCGGATGCCAAGTTTGCTTCTATATGCATCTGTGCAATGTTACGTAGCAGATGAGGATTTGTCTGGTTCTTTTTTCCTTCAATAACCATAATCTTAAAGTCTGCTGGCAGAGATTCCCAAGGGGCTTGCATAACAAAGTCTGCATGTATTTCGTCGACACCCTTCTCAGTGACTGTGTTTGTTATATCGAATGTATTGATGGTGTTTATCGCACAATGGGTTCACCTGTTGCTATTGGAGGCTCTTCTGTCCAGAGTTAGTGCTCCAGTGATTATATCTTTAAGTGAACTGATTCTAGGTCTAGTCAATATCTTGGTCAGCATGCACGCAGCGATCCCTTTTACCCTTATTTCAATCGACGTTAGCTTGGTTTCTAGTCTTAGGTTCAGTATTTTAGTCCATCTGGGAGCTCCTGTTATGATTAGCATTGCATCATTTTGAATAACTTCAACGTTTGCCCACTGACCAGGAGAATAATGGAGTAAGGCAGGCGCTGCATAATCAACTAGGGAACGAACGGCGTGTATGTAAAACATTCTTAACACTTTGTGTCCCGCTCCTTGACGGGGCCTTGTGGTTGCTCTCATTATATTTAGTCGTGATTTTGCTTTCTCCTTTAGATATTGAATTTGCTTGTTGAATGTCATTTTAAAATCTATCCACACTCCGAGATATTGATATTGTGTAACCCACTGAAGGTTAATGTCTTGAATGCGTAGGTGCCTGTCTGGAGTGTTGCCGCCTAGTCTCATCGCCTTAGACTTCTGTGCAGATATTTTTAGCCCTAAAACGCTGCATTCAGATGTTACTTTATCTAACGCCCCTTGTGCTTTATTTAGAAGTGAAGGACCTGTAATGACTAATGTTATATCATCAGTATAGCTTAGCAATTTAACCCCTTCTGTAAATGTCATGGTAACAAGGTTTTCCATAAGGATGTTAAAGAGACCAGGACTGAGGACTCCTCCTTGTGGAGTCCCATTCTCATGCAAGTGGTAGTCCGACACTTGTCCTTGCATCTTTACTCTGGCATACCTGTGACTTACGTAATCTTGAATCCATGCTAGCATATTTCACTTTACACATTTTTAACTAAGGTGTAAAATTGCTTGCAGGCTTGCAAGTTCGAATATTTTTTCTAGATCAAGGAAGATCCCTATAGCTGGACCTGAGTTAACAGTTCCTAGTAATGTTGTTATACAGTTGGCAGTACCTACTCCTCTAGTGAAGCCAAATATGTGTTTATGAAGGTCTCCAGTCTTCCACAGTAGCCTATTTAAGACCATCCGTTCTGCAGTTTTACTAATGCATGATGTTAATGAAATGGGTCTGTAATTGCCAGGTTCTTTCGGCTTAGGAATCGGTATGATGTCCGCTTTCTTCCAAGAGGTCGGCAGTTTGCCTTGCTGCCAAGATGCATTGATGACGTCCAATATTCCTTGTTCTCCAGCAGGACCTGCATGAGTGATCATTGCGTATGTAATGTTATCAGCACCTGGTGCAGTGTCCTTACCACCTTTGTTGCCTCTGATTAGTTCTTGTTTGGTGAAGGGACAGTCACATTCGTCATTTGTAGCTATACTCTCATGAATGGCTGTCATCCTCCCTTGTTTTAATTGTTCTTGCTGCCTTCTGACCATTGCAGGAAGCTGATATGAAGCTGTTCTTTCTGCAAATTGGAGAGCAAGTCTCTCAGCCTCCTGCAATGGTTGAATACATGCCTGTGGTCGGGCTGGTCGACCTGATATAGGTTTAATCTGACCCCATATCTTGCCAAGACTACTATGTTCATTTAGAGTTTGACACCACTCAAACCAACTTGCCTCCTTTACTTCTCTAGAAACTCGTCTTGCTTCAGATATCACCGCTCTTAGCAGAGTTCTTCCTTCTGGTGTGGGGTTTCTCTTTAGATGTTTTCTGAAGATGTTGACTCTGTGGCTCTGTTCTTTAACTTCATTACTATAGAACCAATAGTTCTTTCGTTTTGTGTTTCCTGTGATAGTGATTGGAATAGCTTTGTTTGCAGCAGCTGCAATGGCTTCCTGCAGATTGGTCTCGTGTATGTTCCAATCCTCAGGTGGCGTGTATGTTGCATACCATTTTTCAAGTTCCTCTTGGTATATATTCCAATTGGCCTTTTTTAAATTCCACCTGGGTTGTGCAGGTGGGGTAGGAGGACGTTCTATGTTTAGTGTGACAGTACCATAGTGGTCACTGGTGATCACCGGGTCTACTTCCCACTTCGCCTGATGCTTGAGTGCTGTTGAGATTAATGTAAGATCAAGGGAATCTCCAAGAATGTAAGTGGGTTCCCCAGTGTTGAGAAGTGTAATCTCAGGTACTTCTCGCAGAGCTGCAGCTAAATGGCGCCCATCTGCATTGGCTGGCCCAGTCGCACCTAACTCTTGATGATGAGCATTAAAATTCCAGCAATAATTACATTTTCCTGCGTGGCCAAGGCAAGCACTGCCTCTGCTTCTAGTTTACGTCTAGGGGGCTTGTAAACGTTGTATATGAGGAGCTCAATATTAGCCATATTCACTGTTACTGCTAATACCTCTACTCCATCCCCACACGAAACTGGGTCTGTTTTCTTGCTGGGTATGGTGTTCCTGACTAGGGTCATTAACCCTCTTTGTCTCCCCTGTTCATACGGTATAACATAGTGCTGATATCCAGCTAATCTGAAGGTTCTCGTGGCTGGGAAAAGAGTTTCTTCCAAAACGATTATATCTGCTTTTGTGCTGATTGCGGCTTCCTGAAGTGTGTGGTTTTTATTTCCAAGACCTTGTATGTTCCACTGCAGTATTCGTAATGGCCAGACGACGGTTTCGGTTGGTGTTGCCTGTTCTAGTTGAACTCCTCTTCGGAATCGACCTCTATATTTTTTTTTTTTTTTTTTTTTTTTTTTTGAGATATATACAAGAGTTGTTACATTCTTGTACAGCCACTAGTACGCGTAGCGTTTCGGGCAGGTCCCTGGAATACGATCCCCTGCCGCGAAGAATCGTTTTTTCATCCAAGTACACATTTTACTGTTGCGTTAAACAGAGGCTACAGTTAAGGAATTGCGCCCAGTAAATCCTCCCCGGCCAGGATACGAACCCATGACATAGCGCTCGCGGAACGCCAGGCGAGTGTCTTACCACTACACCACGGAGACTGTTTAATATTCTCCACCTCGCAAGTCGTGTCGCTGCAAATCGGACTGCATTGATTGCTCTTGGTCATCCCCGGCATTGTTGGAATCTATACATAAC